CCTCGCCCCTCCCACAGCCAAGCAACACTCCTTCGAAGCCACACCCCGCCTCCCAGCTCCACCTAGACCTCCTCGAAGCTCCACTTCTCTCCTCTCAGTCCCAGCCTACTCTCCCGAAGCCCCGCCTACCTCCCCGCCTCGGCTCCTGGACCCTTCGCAATCCCCGTGCAGGAGCAAACCTGTACCGAAGCCGGCGCCGCCGCACACCTTTAATCCCAGCACTCGGGAGGCAGAGGCAGGCGGATCTCTATGAGTTTAAGGCCAGGCTGGGCTACACAACAAGTCCCAGGACGGCTAGGGCTACATAGAGAAATCCTATCTAAAACATAAACCTGTACTAAACATATTCTGGTCCGGACCTCCACCCTCCCAGCCCCACCCCTCCAGAGCCGGCCTCGGCCTTCCGCAGGCCCTGCCCCGTCGCTCTAGCCTGAGCTCCTCTCGTTGGTGGAGGTAAGCCGGCTGCTCTGGGCAGCGCCGCGGGAGGGCGGGCTAGGAGGCGGGGCTGACTGTTGTGGGCAGGTTCGGGCCTTCGGCTCCGCGTCGCCAGGTGCTGCCTGGCTCAGGCTGGCCTGTGCGGCTGCTCATTCCCTCCCTACCGGGGCGGGGAAAACCGTTTCTCTCCAAGTGCTAGGACTCGGCCCAGCCCACAGCAAGGGACTGAGCATCTTGCCGTTTCGAGCACCCTCGCTTGAGCGCCAAGATTCCAATCCCATTCCCCTTCCGCAGTAAATTAGTCTTTCTTCCCTGTAAGTGAGTCCAGTGACCTCAGAGCTCCAAAAAGTTTGGGACTGGAATCTATTCTGATGTCTGCTCAAAGGTCTCTGGAACTTGAGATGCCTGAAGAACTGCACTAAGGACTCCAAGTCGCCATCCTCTGTGCTTTCTTCTCTCCAAAATTGACGATCCCTTTCCTGTCTCCTCAAACTCACTACTGTTCAAGGTGCCATGGTCTCCAAATTCAGGAGTGAATGGAGTACTGTCCTGTCCCACCTGGTGCTGGCAGCGGTGTCTCTGCACGCAGCGGTGAGCTCTGTACAGGTAGGTGAATATTCTTACTTTCACAAACTATGTAGATCCCTGAACTAGAAAGAGGGTGATGGGAGGAGTGTGTGAGGCTGGGTCTCCTTGACAATCTCAGACTCTTTGCTTTTTAAAAGGGTGACTCCTGGCTCCTTAACATGTCTGTCTTCCCTGTGTCAACAGTCCAGCCGAGGAGCTGCTGCTGGCTTCCTGCTCCAGACCTTTGCTGCCATCACTATGTTGGCCCCAGGGCTGAACACACATGAAGACTGTCTTGCTGGAGCTTGGGTTGCCACAGTCATTGGTCTGCCTCTTCTGGCCTTCGATTTTCACTGGGTGAATGGGGACCGCTCTTCTGCCAACCTGCTTCTGGGAGGAGGCATGGTGTTGGCAGTGGCTGGTGACCATCTTGGCCCTGAAGGGTGCTCTGTGGCTGGGCAGGCAGTACTGCTGGTGGTGGCAGTGACCATCCTTATTGTAGCTGTTTTCACAGCCAACACTTATGGGATGTGGGGGGGTGCCATGCTGGGCGTGGCAGGTCTCCTGAGCCGTCTAGAAGAGGACAGGCTGCTGTTGCTGCCAAAGGAAGACGTCTGTCGTTGGGCCCTGGCTGCCGGCAGTTGGGCATATTGCCGGGCCCTGCACACACAACGCCTGCAGTGGGAGTGACAGGGGACTGACACAGCAAGGCAGGGCTTCTATTCCAGGTACTACTTCCCTTCCTCTGGCCTACATCTGGAGCCTCTATCTTAGGGATAGGCTTTCTTTCCTCTTGGGGGCAGAGCTTGGGTGCTATCCCTTCTCTGTATGGAAGGAAGCTTGTCCAAACCAGAATTCAACAGTTCTTCAGCACACTTGGGGCCTGATTCTTGGAGAAGCATGGTTGTGAGTCAGAGGCCAGATTTCCAATAAACCTTAGGAATATACAGGAGTATGTATGGAATCTGCTTATTCTTGAGCTAGCTTCCTTAGGCCTCCAGGGTATCAGCTGACTTCCCTCAGCAAAGAAGGGGTGATGTGCTTTAACTAGTAGGAGGCATTTTTCATCTTGGCATTCTGAAAGATTTGCCAAGAGAACCCCAGTGGTGGTGCAGGCCTTTAATCCCAGTTGGGAGGCAGAGACAAATGGATCTGTGTTTTGGGCTAGGCTGGACTATACAGGTTGAGTTCCAGAATTGTCAGTGCTACATATAGTAAGACCTTTTATTAAAAGAAAGAAAGAAAGAAGAAACTCCATGCTTAAAAGACATAGTTTTGGGGTCTTGGTTTCCTGGGACATAGTAGATTTGCATATATCCTTAGTGGACCTGGCAGGTGGCCCTCTGGGACAGTGACCTTCAGAAGCTGGTGGCTGAGTTAGTAAAAGGCAGAAGAGAGCTGTACCTAGGCGATTCCCAGGAATTGCACATCCCTTCTGTGGACTGATTTGCTTACTACCTGTTTGACACCCTCTTGCTGTACAAGCCATGTCCTTTAACTTAAGATCCTCACTTTCCTCTATGGACCCTTTTTCAGTCTCCCATCCCGGGGCTGGGCCGAGGGGTGGATTATAGTATACCTAATCCTTCGTTCTTTCTGTATTTGACATCTTGTCGACGTTTATCTCGTCGCGCCAGAGTAGTGGTCTGGGTTTTTTTTTTTTAAGTTCCTGCCTTTCCACTCCAGTCAGCTAGGCCAGAGCCTGACGCACATATGCCCGAATTTCTGTGGACAATGGCACAGGCACACCCAGACATGGGGAGTCTAGGGGCACCTTGCACTCTCGAGGAGTCCAAGCCTGGGTATTTTTCCAGACCCCAGAGTTGGTTGTACCTCTCCAGGGACGCACCCTCCGCCGCCCTCTCTCCCCTCCGGCCTCCCGGACCCCACCCCCTTCTGTTCTCCTTCTCCAGTGGGTGGGTCCACCGGCATCCTCGCT